GATGTTATAATAAGAGTCCCGCAAAGAGAAAATGTTGCGCACAAGCAGCACTGTTTGTAATTGATTTTTCATCAGAGTAAACGGCATCCACATTTTTTGCGCTAGCATCGGATGACTTTCAGAAGTGGAAAACTCAATGTCGGTAACGAAGGTTCTGGGAGATAAAAAACAACTATGGGACCTGGAAACAATGTCAAACAGGTGCTTGTTATAATTTATCAATTCCAAAATGCACTAAATGAAGCGAAATAATGTTTTTCATAAAAAAAATATTAAAATATTTTCCGCAATGAATACAATACTTGCCGGCCCCGGCTCTGGGAACAACAATGTTTGTTTACTTTGGTTTCGTTTGGTACACCGCTTGACAGTTCGATTGGTACTTCTGGCTTCACTATTTGCGTTACTCTTATTAAATATAACATCGACTCTGGCTAATTCTAATGACCAATTTCCGAAAATCCTTTAAAATCTGTAAAATCTGAGAATTTTCCGCTCGGTCCGTGGATCTGTAGTAAATCTAAAAATCCGTAGACTTGACGACACTGGTCGTCGTCGATTGGTTATATATGTGTGTACCTCTCAACGGACGTCCAGGCAGAGCCCAGAGGCCAGAAGCAGAAGCAGAGACGGCAGAAATTGGATAATGGCACGAAGAGTACAGTGCTCTGCCGGAGGTTCTATATCCTCCTTCTCCTACTCCTGCTGCTGGTGTATAGCATATTGCGATTAAGACTCTATTTTGATTTGAACTTTCGGGAAAAGTTCAGGCTTCTTTTCTTTTCTTTTTTCGGGCGGTGGTGTGGATTGCTGGGATAAAAAGGGTCGAAGTCGGTGGAAGGTTGTTGGGGCTTGTCACATTTGCTAAAAATCTAATTTTATAGTTGGAGAACAGGATAGCTAGTATACTTTTAAATATTTTTAGATCCGGTTTAAGGACTCAATACTAGTAAGCAGTAAATGCTTCGCAACGAGCAGAACACATGAGATCTCGTGTGGTGGTTTGCTATAAGAGTAGTTCTTTGATTTATATGAAACTTTGTATAATTGTTTGTCTTAAATTTGTGATGACCTAGAAGCAAACACATGTGGTTAAGTCCTGGAATATTAAATTCTTACGCGAGTCCTGGGGGTGCGACCAAGGGGTTGGTCAATCCGCGCAGTGTGCCAAAAACAAGCTTGGACACACCTGGGCACTGTTTGGCATCCACGGTTAAAACATTTCTGATCTCTGGCAACACTGAACTTTTTCTGCGCAGTGTGCATGTGTCAAAATTTGTTATTGATGTTGATGAGTACAATCCATTTTTTTCAAACCACAACCTGAATTATCCTAAATGCCTAATGCCTGTCCGAAGAAGTAGGTATATTATTTCGCGCCGGACTGCGTACAATCAGGTTTTGAACACTTCTAACATTGTCATCTATTGATGAAATTGAAATCCAAATACACCAATCGATAGGAAATAACTCTACGAATCTGCTGAAATAAATACTTTTCCAATTTGCCATAAAAAACGTACAAGTAAAACGTGATAATGTTATCACTGTATTCATGAAAAAAAGTTTTCCCTAACCCAGTCATGACAATCGAAGTTCGTATCATTCTGCTTAAACTTGTACATTTATAAGCGCCGTGTGAAATAATAAGATTTTGGTCCCTTGAAATTTTTTAAAATTCTTGGACTAGATTTTTTGTTTCAAAGGAATTTTGAGAATATTATAAATTTTAGAATGAATGTCAAGGATAGGTATTTCAGAGAAAACTAACGGGAGTTTTAAAAAGACCTCTTGGAGATTTCAGACTTTCACTGCAAGTCACTTGCATGAATTCAGATTTAGAGTAGAATTTCTGAATAGGTAACATTCCAAAGGAATTCTGAGAAAATTTTAAGAGAATTCCAAGTACATCACGAAACAAATTTCTAAAGAATTTAAGGAAAATTTCTAAGCAAAATTTTTGAAGAATTTAGAGAAGAACTCCATGATAGTTCTGGGATGAATTGCTTGAGGATTCTTAAGAGAATTTAAGTATTTTTTTAAAAATAATTATGGAAGGAAGCTTCGAAGAAAATCAAAGGATGAATTTAATGCTTTTATTTTATTGATCTGCAGAGAATTTCTAGACTGTTATAAATGCATTTTTAGGGACTCCCAGAGATAATCTCAAACTTGTTTTTTTTTTATGAAGGGAAATTATTCCAAAGGAAATGCTTGAAAACGCTAAATAAAAGCACACACAAAAACGGGGTGCACAATTTCTGCGAACTTTCAAAATTGATCACGAATATCTCGCGATCAGAACATTTTAGCTTCGAATCCCTCCCAAATCTCGGTACATCTTTTATCTACCGATTGAGTAAAACAATGTCACTAAATATTGCTTCATTCAAAGATTTCGTGCGTTTTGTGGACGCTCGTCCATCATTTTGCATAAGAAAACGGGGTTTTTCTGTGGTGGGAAAAGTGATTTCCCTATCACAAATTACAGATTTCAGTACCACCATGCACTGACATTATCAGACGGTACCTCTTTTTATGCTATTAGATTACCATTGCATTGAGAATTATGCTATGGAACGGCTTGCTATGGAACGGCTTGCTATGGAACGGCTTGCTATGCCCCGCGTCGATTATAATTTCCCGAAATTTTTAGATCGGCGTCAGGACAGGAAACTATTAGTCATTTGGCGTGGAACTGCTCATTTGCGACTTCAGGACCATTAAAATGATATTCGACGAATATCTAATTCGTTGGATTATTTATTCATGCGTCCAAATCTCGATGAACATTTCAAATGGTCATATCTGCTTTGATTCTCTTCATCGAATTTCTCTTTTCATAGCCACTGCTATGCAAACAGATTTCGCGCTCATGCTACTACATAGGTTGATAAAGGAGGTTCTTATCTAGCGTCCAAAACGTCAAATACAACAGGGAAAGGTTTTGCAGCTGAGTTTTTGACAAAAGAGAAAGTCGATGAAGAGAATCGATCAATGCAGATAGGACCTTTGGAAATGTTTATCTTGAAATGCGTTCGTAATAACACCGAGATAGTGATGTGGAAACCACCATAGTATTGGCGAACCGTTCAGCGTGGTTAATCGATGGATAATCGTTATCGGCAATAACGAAAATCCCTCTCGTTATCACTCACTCGACGCAGGAAAATGCCCTCACAAAGTATTGAGTGACTCACTGACGTAAAGTTGGTCATCGTCGAAGCATTTCCGATTAATTGATTTGTTGCCATTCTCAAGATTCGGATAAGCATACGTTGAAATGGATATCACCATGAAGGATCGATTTTGAAACAGACCCACTAGAAGACCAGGAGAACCGTTGAATCTTAAGCTCCCAAAACGCTGAACTGGAGAACAAGGCAACAAGATTGAAACCTATCAGATAGGCGAAATTTCAGTCGATGCTTGCTTCTCTTACAATGAGTAGATCGCCCGAGTTGAGTGCCCGATAAAATGCGAACTGGTAAAACAAATTGTATGATAAAAGGCTTCCATCAATCATGCCCATGCGCGCTAGTAAAGGTAGTAGAATTCGATTAGAACTGGTTGCGTGATTCGTCATCGTCACCGTCACCGGGTTTGTATGGTAATATCAACAACTCGATTGCAAGTCCTGTGTTATGATACGCGGGGCTCGATGGCCTAGATGCGACCGTGTTTGCTTACTGAGCTGCAGATCGTGTGATAAATCCCAGGCTCCTTCACATTATAGAGTCAATTTTGCGGGTATGACAGGTTGGGGTGGGTTATTAGTTTTGGCCAGCTAGAAAGGAAAAATACCCCACTATGCACCGTTTCTATTAAATTTCAAAATTTCTCTTTATCATAACTTTTGATAAGACTTGAACCGGGGTATCGAATATGCTCTGTAGGGAACATGACGATTTTACTAAGGAATTTACTCAGGAACAATATAGACAATTCTTTCGTCGTTGACTAAGGCTGTGTCCCTTTTGCCGAGTTAAATTCAACCAGATGGAAAGTTATCGATTGGCCCTGCTATCCGAGCGTGGTTATTTCTGACAGACATAAACTTAGATTTTGACAACCGTGGCTGAGTTCTGCGGTCGATCGATCACACTGGGATTTTCAGACATGGACACAGTCCTAATTGAACCCAACATTTCTTTGCATAGGCTAAGTGTGCCAGTTAATGGCACTAGTGGTCCTCTAATTGGTCCGATCGTAAACTTCAATTTTGTTAAATTCTTTACCAAATTTATATCGAAACAACGTCAGAACATCTACGCAAATAACATCACCACGATTTATTTCAATTTCAAGCTAGGTCCTGGGGCCGAAAACTGGATCACTGGAGTGCCACATGATGACTGGCTCCACTTACCCTACTTCAATCTCCTCCGCCCACGTTATGACATCAGTGTGGCTGTTTTGAGGTTATATTCAACCACATCGATCAATATTCCACCCCAGCATGCCCTACGGCGAGAACCCTTACTTAGGGGTGTTCTGTTACCAATTCCAAACGCACTTATTCCACTGGTCATTTGATACAGCCAACCATGTTCTGGTTCATGTTCTGCACATGCAGAGGATTAATAATGGGCAGGCAGCAGGTTCAGGCCAAAGGTGTGGGAAGACATAAAACATCTCCCACTGCCTTCACTGGGCCACGTGATGCACCCAAAATTGCCATCAGGAAAGTGGCCTCTCAAAATAAATTCGAAATAAATATCCGAGTGGGCAGACGACGTCGCCGCCGTGCTGGATTGCACCACTTGGTCGCCATATACGGGAAACGATAAGCCACACTTTTTCTCCCAATCTCCTTTGGGGTGTCCGTCGTGGGCCCCCCACACAAACGCCCCATAAATTATGGACAGACCTACACACACCGGTTCGAGTTCGAATCCGAAATTGTGCTCAGTGCTGCTTCTGCTGCTGCTGGGGTGGATGCTGAGGCTGGACTGAAAAGAGCTCTCTTTGACTTTGATGATGCTTATTATTATGGTTACCTTTCTTGGCTTGGTTTCGATGATTTGCTCGACTTCGACCGCTTCAGACATTTTGTTGATTCTTTTGGATTGCTTGCTTCCTGCCTGCACACACCGCACTACCGATTCTGCTTCAGTAGGTATTCCTGATTTCTTTCGATTTTCGGAGAACCTTGGGGGTTTTTCCGTTCTTTCGGTGTGCTGTAATAATCCACACGTAGGTAGCCGCACTTGCGCCTGATCCGCTCCGCGAATAAAACAACAACAGGTCAATCACACTAAATAGCTAAATAGCTTCCGGTCGGTCGGTCCGGATATCCTATAACAACGCACCAGCAAGTCCTTTCTTCACACTTCTCTCAACTCTCAACTGAAACACCAATCTACCAAGACCGTAGTTAGATTGCGCTCCCGGAGCTCCACTTAAGTACACTTAACTCGTGCGAAACAAAGAAATAACTGAAGAAGCTGAACTGTTTCCAATTGCTACGAACCGGTCCCGTGTCCGTGGCCGCCGTCGTCGTCTATCCGAAGTTGGTTCGTTCGTTTGAATCATAAAAATCATCGCTCTCTTTCGCTCTCGCTTTTCCAGTTCTACTTTGTGCATACAATCATATAGGCTCCTTCTTGGTGGCACCGGCGGCGCAGCGGTGATGATGATGGGCCATAAAATTGAGTGTCTCCACTTCGCGAGAACCACCACCAACCTAACCTCTATCGATGACGACGATAGAGGCGCATAATCTGCTGATGCTGTTGCCTTTGATCGAACGAGTGCATCTCTGGCGAGGGCGCACACTCTCCATCAGGCAGGGTTGCCAGATATTTTGTATTACAAATATCAGGAATCTTAAAAATACCAAATCAGAATTAATCAGGATGGTGTTCTGGGCCTATCTCGATTTCCTTTTCAAAGAGACGTAATTGCTTATGCAAACAAAGATTCAAACGTCATTTTGTCGAAATTCTTAGCACTCCCTCGCAAACTAACACCACCGTTAGAAAAGGGTAAAGGGGGGTTTCTCCAACAAAATGTTGTTACTAGTTTACTTCGAAATGCTAAGAGTTTCGACAAATTGACGATTGAATTTTTGTTTGCATAAGCAGATACGTCCATTTGAAAAAGTAATCGAGAAGTTAGATCTTAATAATTTTTATCAGGATGGAAAAAAAATCGTAATAAATCCAGATTAATCAGGATATATGGCAAACCTGCTCTCCACTCTGCGAACATCATGTCGGTTTAGGTCTGCCATGTGGCTGCTTGATGCGTATGATGGGACGGTTGGTGGAGTGAGCTCCGGAGTTGATTGTGCTCTCGCGTCGTCGCCGTCGCCGTCGTCGTCGTGATTCTTAAAGAGAGCGAGAGAGAGAGTGAGTGAGACCATTTCCCTATAGCAACTCACCATTAAGTACACTCTGGAAACTAGACGCATGCTATTGATTCGATCGGTCTTATGAAACTGGAAGCAACCGTCGCCAATTATTCGGAAAATCAAGGTAACTCGACTGAATCTCTTTTTTTCGCATACATATTTTATTTATTTATTTATTTGCTACCCACCTTCGACTACGTCGTACAGACTGATTACATAAAACCTAATTTAATCTAAACCCCTTATTCTAGAACTAAGCACATGTTTGGTAAAAAATAAAATCATACTCGCTACAAACATCATTAAAGCACAGACAAACAGACGTAACTCTTTGAAAACCTTGTTCTTGAAAACATAGTATCTCAAAACATATAACCTCAGTAACGACATCTATCTGGCTTCTCGCGGAAAACAAGCTTGCTCGCTAACTCGTAAACAATATTGCATAAAAGTTCTATAGAATATATAGAAACGTCAAAGTGATCCGATGCCAGCGCTGCGGTGAGTTGTTCGCGGAACTGATAATATTCAAATCAACCGTTAAATGCATGAACGAAGATACACAATGAAGAGTTACGTCTGTTTGTCTGTGATTAAAGGAACGCAAACAAGAATTAAAACAACTATTGAATCCAACATTCGTTCTGTGAAATGGAATTGCAACCAACGGGGAATTACGGAATCGTCGAGGAGGAGTATACCACGGAATCAGTTCCAGGAGTTCGGGACAGTCCACGTTGCCTGTTATGCGGTCGAAGATGAATAGTCGTTGCAATTTAAGATTCCTGGCAGAGAGGGATTCCAAATCAATCAGCTTGCATCGGTCGGGATAACTTGGAAGATTGATTGGATGATTCCAGGGGAGCTGACGCAAGGCAAACCTTATAAAACTTTTCTGAATGCCAAAACGGGGAACCAAAACCATGACGACGAATAAAATCAAGGACAGTATATGCTGCTTGAGCAGTTACGATGTTTATGTGTTCGTTAAACATTAGCTTTGAATCGATCGTAATTCCTAGATCACAGATGGAATTTGCACGTTCTAGAGAATCCGGCCCCATGTAATATTGATGGTAAATAACGTTGTTGCAGCGAGTGAAGGATATTACTTTGCACTTTTTGCTGTTTAGGTGCATGCCGTTGTCACCAAACCAGACTATCACACGATGTACACGGCCAATCATACCAACTCAGCGACTGAAAATATGTCGTTTCCCTTTTTCACGAATCTGTCTGTGCGCAAATGTCAACTTTAGTGCCATAGAGAACAGGTCCGGCAATGCAACGACAACGACAAGTGTAACGTCACACTTGTTGTTACATAAATCAATGGAAGAATGGAAGAGATGACTGATTTGCATTGCCGGACCTGTTTTATATGACATTGGGGCCAGTGCTTTCAACGGAAAAACTTAAATATTGATTCTTGTTTTCGTTTAGTGTGAGGAAAAGCGTAAAATAATTGTGTTTGGTTGGTCTTTTTGAATTGTTCTGTTCTGTTTTTCTGCTGTTTTGCAGATCAGGTATTTAAATTAACTTTTCATATTGCGATTTATAGCACGATAACATCACGTATCAAAATATTCAGCTCCCTACGATGGACGACGTGGAACCGTCAGGATTACCGAAGCTTGTTTCAGTCCGCATCGTGCTCTCTTGCCGTGCGGATCTATTTGCTTTTTGCTTAAGGAAGTGTTACTACTACCTAAAGCTACAACAAATTTAAACAGCACTTTTCAGTGCTCAAGCTGTAAAAATTTTCTACCTTGTTCAACTCCTCTTATTCCTCTTCGATCCTTGTTTGGACCCTACCCGAGGTAATCCTTCTTGGATATCGATTTAGAAAATTCCTCTTCGATCCTTCAGATTCTTATAGTAATCTGCCTGGAAGTCGATTTGGATAAAAAATTACTGCCGCCATGGCGCCTAAACGCAAAAGAAAGGGGCAAACTCTTGACCCCCCTTCTGATGAAATTAATTTGAGTAATCAATTTGATTTGCTCACGGATGATGAGAATGATCCATCATCCAAGAAAAATTCTAGTAAACTTTCCCGGCTTAATGCCAAGAAGGAAAAGATTCCCCCTATTGTGATAACCACTTCCGATTTCCATGCTCTTCGCATGGAACTTTTGAATTTCGTGAAAGTTAAGTTTTCACTACAAATTGGACGTCGGGGTGAATGCCGCGTATTGGCTGAATCCTTGGACGGATTTAAATGTCTTCTCAAGTATCTTACTGAGAAGAAGCACAAATTTTTTACTTACGACACCAAAACTGAACGTGTGTTCAAGGTTGTCATGAAAGGACTGCCCAGTGGTGAATCCCTGGATCAGATCAAAGATGAACTGGCAAAATTACTTGGAGTTGTGCCACTCCAAGTAATCAAAATGAAAATGAAATCCCGTCCTGGCGATTCGCGCAACGGGATTTCTAATGATTTTTATTTAGTTCACTTCAAGTCTAGTGAACTAAACAACCTTAAGGCCTTAGAAAAAGCTAGCCTTATGCTCCATGTCCGAGTGAAGTGGGAACACTTCAGGAAGACTGGAGGAAATTTCCAAAACCTCACTCAGTGCCGTAAGTGCCAGGGATGGGGTCACGGAACTAAAAATTGCTACATGCCAGCTAAATGCATGAATTGTGGTGATTCCTCTCACGCAAAGGACGACTGTCCTGTGAAGGAAGATCCTAAGAAATTTAAATGTTCAAATTGTGGTGAAAACCACAAATCCAATTTTTGGGAATGTAAGACTCGCAAAGCGATCCTACAATCTCGTTCTAACCGACAGGTAGGAAACGGAGCTCCATTAACTCGCTGAACATTGTTAGCAGCGAGGGGATTAGGTACAGATGAAACATTTGAAGCAGGGGTGATATTTGTACCTACGGGTACGAATGTAGAATTTGTTCCTCGCTGACCGTTGTTAACAGCAGAGTAATTTGTACCTGGTCGGAAACGTGGAGCACGTTTCCGACCAGGTACAAATTACTCTGCTGTTAACAACGGTCAGCGAGGAACAAATTCTACATTCGTACCCGTAGGTACAAATATCACCCCTGCTTCAAATGTTTCATCTGTACCTAATCCCCTCGCTGCTAACAATGTTCAGCGAGTTAATGGAGCTACCTATGCTGCTATTGCAGGTAGAAATCAAAATACTAACCAACGTTCTAACGGAAATTTTGACAATTTTGACTTAGGAAGCATTACCAACAATCAATACGAAACTAACGATTTTAAATTGGCTCACTACTTGACTAGCCTATTGGTCCCAAGCAAACGATTAACGTATCCCATTCTAGTCGAAATTCTAGTACTACGCAATGTTTGTTTTGATTCGTTATGAAAGTTAGACAGATAAAATGAGGGGTTATTGGTATTTCTTATGTTTCGAGGGGTGAATCGATTAGCTTGGGACCGAAGAGAGTACCAGAGCTGAGCCAAAAAGTGGAGCACGTTATTTCGGGACCTTCTAGTCTTAGAGTTACCTCTATGGCATTACTGCTCCTAAAATGGAATTTTTACAGAATTCATTAATTGACATGATTTCTGATATGCTTAAATCTAACTCCATGGTTGATGCTATTCAAACTGGAGTAAAATTTGCTAATAATATTGTCATGACTCTAAAATTCAGTAATGGATTTTAAAGCATTACACATTTTAAATCGGAATGCTCGATCTCTTAAAGATAATGAAGACGAGCTATTTAATTTTTTGAGAGTTCATAACGTGCATATTGCCGTTATAACTGAAACGTTCCTTACACCTGGCCATAAGGTTAAGAAGGACTCAAATTATTTAATTTATAGAAATGATCGTCTTGATGGACGCTGTGGTGGCGTTGCCATCATTATTCATAGACGAATCAAACACAAAATACTTTCTTCATTTGAAACCAAAGTTTTTGAAACTTTGGGAGTTTCTGTTGAAACAAAATTTGGACAACTTACGTTTATAGCTGCCTATTTGCCATTCCAATGCGTAGGCCAGCAAAAGAATTTTCTCAAGGGTGACCTCCAGAAACTTACCCGTCATAGGTCTAAATTCTTCATTATTGGTGATTTTAATGCAAA